AAGAAAATTAACTCTATCCCAGCTGAAACCAGGACATCTAGACACTGCTGTAAATTGTACCAATTCTTAGCTGCTGTTCTTCTTTCACAAATTACTATTAATACTGAAGAATTCAGAAGCCATAATTCATGCACACATATGCAGAAAGCTTGCTTTTAGTTTAAAATTATTTAAATGATTCCTCTCTGGATTTCCTAGATGGAGAAAAAGTGAATAAGTTTTGTTTACTGCTCTGGTCAACTATCATAGTCTGTATCCTGAGACAAACTAGAAGACAAAAGAATTGTGATTATTTTTACCTTTTCAGCACTTGAGTAATATTAAGGTAGAAAACAGCAACTTTTATTTTTTGTAGCTAAAAACTATACCTTGTTTATGTCTACTACAGGTTCTGTGCATTATGTGAGTGAGAAAGGAAAGACAAGGCATGTATTGTCCACAGGCAGTGTGGTCCAAAAGCTTCTGTTCATGGAGGAAAGAGATGTTTTAGTCGTAATAACAGAGAATCTGCAGTTGTCCTTGCATGCAATTACTCTTGAGGGGGAGGCAGAAGAGCTCATGAAGGTAAGAGTCAGACTACAGGGCAAAGTTGCAATGTTTAATCTTTATAAGAATTTGTTAGAGTTTTTTGATTATCATTTTTTTGCTTACAAATGAATCAATTCTCTTTCTTTTTTCTCAGATTATACCTGATAAGCAGGTATGATAAGCAAATATATGCTCATTTAGAAGTGGAATAGAGTGATGTTATTGAACTTGGAAAGATGGTTTTCATCTTGCCTTTCTGTTTTTTCTTAGTTTCTTTCATTTTGACCCTATGTTAATCTATTTAGACTTCATTTACCTTGTCTTAGTGAACTAGAGAAGAATTGAAAATTCCAGTGTAATCAAATATTTGTTAAAATGTCTTCTGGATAAATAGTTGATAATCTGCGTCCTTGTTTTTATTATCATCAGTTGCTCAGAGCTGTCTTGTCTTTCAGATCAGTAGGAGCAGTACCTCTGTTGGTATGAAATTGTCTTTGCAAATCTGAAAGATGGTTTAGTTCTCACATTGTGAAAGCATTCTTCACAGCTGCAAAGGCTAGGAAGCTTTTATAAAAATAACAACCCACAAGTCACAGAATCACAGATAATAATGCAGTGACCCAAAAATTATTGTATAGGGCCAATAAAGAAACTGACCTCATCCAGAACTTATAATCACCTTGGCTCACATAAAATACTGTACTGTTGGAGAATACTGCTTGGGGGGATGGAACCCAAACCTTCAGCTTCCTAAGATTTTTGTTTTTTTCTTTTTCTCTAAGATGAAAAAAGACGGGGCACTTGTGTGTTACAGGAGTGTCCACTTCTTATTAATCATGATTTATTTTTGACTTGGAGGCTGGAAAGCTGCCTGGCTGAAAAGGACCTGGGGGTGCTGGTTGACAGCCAGCTGAACATAAGCCAGCAGTGTGCCCACGTGGCCAAGAAGGCCAACAGCATCCTGGCTTGTATCAGGAATAGTGTGGCCAGCAGGAGCAGGGAAGTGATTGTCCCCCTGTACTTGGTGCTGGTGAGGCCGCACCTGGAATACTGTGTCCAGTTTTGGGCCCCTCAGTACAAGAAAGACATTGAGGTGCTGGAGAGTGTTCAGAGAAGGGCAATAAAGCTGGTGAAGGGTCTGGAGCACAGGCCTTATGAGGAGTGGCTGAGGGAACTGGGGTTGTTTAGCCTGGAGAAGAGGAGGCTGAGGGGAGACCTTATTGCTCTCTACAACTACCTGAAAGGAGGCTGTAGTGAGGTGGGTGTTGATCTCTTCTCCCAAGTAGTTAGCGATAGAACAAGAGGAAATGGCCTCAAGTTGCACCAGGGGAGGTTTAGGTTGGATATTAGGAAAAATTTCTTCATGGAAAGGGTAGTGAAGAATTGGAACAGGCTGCCCAGAGAGGTGGTGGAGTCACCATCCCTGGAAGTGTTCAACAAACGGGTAGACGTGGCACTTTGGGACATGGTTTAGTCTAGTCTACCCTTGACTGGTTTAGTGTGGACTTGGTAATGTTAGGTTAATGGTTGGACTGGATGATCTTAAAGGTCTTTTCCAACCTAAACGATTCTATGATTCTATGATTCTATTCTGTAAGATTTGGTATTTCACATTTTAAAGCAATCTTTATCAAGTTCTATAAGAAGATCTAGTACAAGAGAAAAAACTGCTCCTTACCTACTTAATTAACCCACTACAAGGCGTCTTTTATTAAATGTATACATCATATACTTGATGCATTTAGTGGTGATCACTGCCTGAGAGAAACTATTGGTCTATCTGAACTGACAGACAGATCTAGTTATTCTTATATTTTAACATTTTAGCCAAACTAGGCAATTCAGATGCTTACTGTCTTTCAGGGTGTTCCTCCTACCTTCTGTAAATTTATTTACTTATGGTTAACAGGTGAAGTTGAGTGGGAAGATAGGTCATTCTGCAGACATCATTTTAATAGACCATAGCCTTGTTGTTACAGCACTAGGTGAGACGGTCATCAGGTAAGAATCCTGTTTTAAAGCTGTTCTGGCTGCCCATGAGAAGTGCCACCTAAAAGGTTTATGGTCTGCAATGCACTGAATATTTTACTGAACTTTTTCTTTTTTAACCAATAATGAAAAAAATCCCAATATTTTCTAATTTTGTTTCTCAAAATAAAGAGAGAAATGAAATATCTGTTTCCTTGAGGACAAAAACTAATTATGTATATATTTCTTTCTCTTTAGTTACTTTATTTTGTCAGGCAGTACTACCCAAATCTGTTCCTTTCTTGAGTGCTGTTACTGATTTCTTCTGAAAATGTATCCATTTGGGTTTTTTGTGGGAAAAAGACAGCCACTTTGCTGTTCTTTCATTGTTATTGTCTGATTCTTAGGATAGTCATAGCATCAGCAACAGGAAAAAAAATGCTTGCTTTTCAGGATGTTTCTCTGTTACTGTAATATAAGACAAGTATTATGGTTGCTTCTATCCCTAATTCTTTAAACTAAATATGTTACTTTGCCATGCTGCTATGTTACCGTGTTCTGTAGTTTTTATCTTTTTTCATCTTTTTAAAAAAAGTATTAAGTCTTTTTTTTTCCCATCTTTACTATGACTTTCTCTACCTGTTTCCTCTAACTTTTTTTTGGGAGTAGGGGTGTTCCATTAAAATCAGTAGTTCACTTTCTTGAGCCTCTGTCTGCTTCTATCAGGCAAAATAACGTGTTACTTTCATGAGAATGTGATAAAGACGAAGTATCAAGGAGTATGTTTGATGACAATGTTTAGTTCTAGAAAATAAATCTGTGATCCAAAGGACTACTGGTTAACCAAGTAATATTCTTAAAATAGAGGAGGAAACATAAGTAGGGAAGAGGAAAATTGCAACTAGACCTCACTTCTCTTTTTCCTCCTCCTTTTCCTCCTCCTTTTCCTTTTCTCTTATAGCTGGGTTTGCTTCTTATTCCTTTCTTCATAGGAGAATATCACAAAACATGCTGCAGATTAAAAAGTCAAAGGAAAAGGAAGGAGATTGTTAAGAAACCCACATTCCAGAGGCAGCTGCTGGCAATTTAATTTTAAAAATTGAATGATCTGGGCATTATGGAAATAGCACATTAATGCCACGTACAGCATCCTATTGACTGTGTTTAGCAACACAGCTGGAAAGAAAAGCATTGTTAACACTCTTGTTTTGTGTACCTTAGGTTCTGGGATTTGGACCGAGACGAGAACTATATGCTCTCCCCAGATACGCAATTTGGCTTTGAGGGAGGAGAATGTATTAACTGTGTTTCTTACTGCAGTGCTAAAGGTGAGAAATAACATGGCAGTTGTGATCTCTGGATCCAAACCTTGTCAAACCTCAGCTTCAGTGCCCTGTAGTCATTTCAGTATGTTTGTCTTGTTACTGAGGCTTTCAGTAACAGCATGTGATGTAGAGGCGTTTTAGTTCAGATCAGGAGTGTGCTTTTGAAGGTACAGTGAGATCATTCGATACTCACCACACTTTGTCTCCGTGTGGAGTTGTCTCCCAGCACACAAGCTGGATTCCCTTTGATGACACTGAACTGGTACAAGTACTCCTGGAGTCCATGTAATGCACTCCAGCGTGTTATGGGCATTCAGTCTACAAGCCCACACTAGAGCTAATGCAAAGCAGAACTCACCAAACATGTATAGCGTGGATGTCAGGTCCTTAAAACTGATGTTTTCTACAGAGCTACTCCTATGTATCACCTTGTTTGCCAGTATAGGCATAGCTAGTGTCTGCTAGAATGGTTTTCAATGGTGACTTGCCCATGGTGACTACAAAACCAGCTATTCAAAAATAAACGGTTAAAATGAAATCATTGTCTGATACATTTAAAAGATAACTTCATCTGATAGCTTAGAAAATGGGCCTTGCCATGTGAAACTTCTCCCATTGTTTCTCCAGAAAGTTTCTCCAGTTCAGGACTAGGATGCTGGTTTGCAGGAAGGCAAAGAAATGGATGCTGCTATAAGAAGGCTTCTCAGTACCTCAGAACCAGGCCTAGGCTGCCTGCTACTTTGTATAATGTGGGTTTGTTTTTCTGAAGTTTGAAATGTCTAAAAGGTTTGTGAATGGCAGGTCTCTTAGCAGCTGGTACTAACAAAGGGAGAATAGCTATGTGGAGGAAAGCAGCAGGATCCAATCAGAGCATACGGGCTTTGGAAGGCAAGGAGAAGTGGAAGCTCCAGGCACCTACGGAACTTGAAGGAAATGTCACTCAGATAAAGGTAAGACAGGAAAGAGTCTTCTTACATGTTAGTAGGACTTCACACACATTAGGTGAATAGATCATCTTTGTGAAACTGATTAATATGATCGCTATCATACAGGTATGTGCACCAGTAGAGGCTGGTGCTCCTTCAGAAGAAGGAGGAAAAGCCATCAGGATCAAGTAACTTTTAAAATTGAAATGGGCAGAAATATTACCTGTTTGTAGCTATTCTGTTACAGGTAGGGTTGAAATGCTCAGCAAGATAACACACTGAAATGCAAATACATCTCTCTGTCTGGGAGAATTAGCAGTCATGGCATCCTTAAATCAAAACAGCTCTCCATTATATGTCTCATTGGTAAACCCTTTGGATTCAGCACCCTGAAATTATTTTCTGGAAAAGACAGATTGTCAGAAATGTCAAATTTACATAAATTTATTAAAATAGTAAGCAAGAAAATCTGACTAAATGCATGATTTTATTTGTAGATGATTTTCTTCTTTTTAGTCAGTTTCTCAATGTAAACTTTGCTCTCACTGGTAGATACAAAAATAAAAAGATGTATTTACAGCTAAATATTCTTCGGTGAGAAGATGTGTCGTCTAGAAGGGAATGCTGTATTTTTACATGCAAAGTGATGTTTTCAGCTGCTTTTTTTGTCAGAAAATGTTTCTTGTTTCCTAGATAATATAGCAGTGTGTGACACTGTCAGACTAGATGTGGATGATTAAGCTTTCTCCTACAAATTTGCAAAACCAATGCTTTAAAACATTTCTACTGCTATTTACAGTATTTGTAATGCTGAAAGTTATGACAAAACATTGCATTATAATAATTATTTTTTAACCCGTTGTCTGTTAAGTGTCAGGGTGCAGCATTTTTATTTGAAATATTTTCATTTGTCACAGTAAGCTTAAACACTGTCATTCTATGCTTATTAGTATTTTGATATATGCAATAGAGAAACGCTGAGCATTACAATTGTAAAGTTAAATTTAAAAAGTTTTACATTAACAAAACAGCTTTCTTGACCACCACCATTCTGCTAAAAGGCAAAGTTCATGCTTTTAGGTTCTTCAGCATTTTTTGGTTTGTTTGTTTGTTATACCCTATTATTAAGCTTTTTCCAGGTTTTTTAGAGTTTCTGTTATAACTTAGATTATTCTGTTGCTCTGCTTAATATGTGAGAACAACACCCGTTATTTTTTTGAAGGAATGAAAATCAAACAAGTATATTTGGTGCCTTTCAAGAGAAAGTATTTTTATGTTTTCTTTTATTCTGTTTTCACATAAGAATGGAAAGTACTTAAAAAGCAATGGCATTTGCTTGCTCTGGGTTGGCATATAGTGAGGGTCTGTATCAGAGTCCTACTTTCAAAATTAAAACGTAAGTACTATTGAAGTGGAGAACCCAAATCTTTTTTTAAGATGCTTGAGTAACAAAGGGTCCAGGATATAGGAAATAATGTGTGCCATTAGTATATCATACATCTGCTAATAAGTTGAGGGAAGAGATATAGGTGTTTATGTCAGCTTGATCATTCAAGCGTTTTCCAGATAATAGGATGTGGAGTGCTGTCCAGAAATAGCACCTTGTTCCCAATGTTTGTTAACATAAACAAAAGCATTCCCAAACAATTGTCAACAATCACTGTTTTTATCTCATGTTATAAAGCTGTCTTTAATTATGGAAACTCTAGATTTTTATTGTAATCCCTGCATTCCAAAAAATATCATGTAAAAGATTTTAAAAATTGTTACATGTGGGATCTTTTGGTAATGCCTATAAAAGCTTTTTCCTATATTAACATGAAAAATTCACAATAGAAAGCCTTATACCATGGTGAGGTCAAAGGGCAGCGATATCTTCATTTGACTCCTTGCCAAACTCATCTTTTTTTCAACCTGATATGATGGCTTCAAAAGAGAGGTGGTTGGGAAATGCACTCTAGCTCATCTATTGTACAGCATAGTATCTACTTAATTGTAACTAAGCGCTATTAAAAAGAAAACCCTAAACAAACAGTGCAAAATAGCTTTATTTTGTAGATCATGCTCTTGAATAAAATGAAATTATTTCCAAACACAATTATTTAAATCAGTGTTGTTAGAAAGGTATAGCCACAGAAATATCAGTGTGTCAGGAAATTAATATGAAACCTCAAATAGCTTTGCAGGAAATAGAGACCTTAAAGACTTGGCATATCCTTAAGAGTTTATAGAGCATATCAGTTGTGCAAGGACAGAGAAGTTCTTGGACTTCAGAGGGATTTTCTGCAGCTCTGAGAAACTTTATAATTTATCTAGCCCGTGAAAGTATGTTTGTATGAATGGTCTCTGGTAGGTTAAAAAAAGAAAATTGCACACAAAAAACCAACCTCAAATCCCTCTGCCTGTTCCTTAGCCCAGCCCTGAGGGAGCTCCTATGCTGAAGCTGTGCAGTGAACTATGGACTGTGCTTATCAAGGGGCATTATTGATGGTGTGTAGTAGCTCAGGAGTAGCACCCCTGCACTCCCATGCATAGTTATAGCTTCCAGACTGGAGTTTGGATCACTTCTGGCTAACATGGTATGTGCGAAGAGTTCACATGTAGTCAGCTGGTTGCCACAATGCTTTCTGACAAGAATCATCCTTTGGTGGGAATAAGCATAAATAATGTCAGACATGCTTGTTTAACTGTGAATATAGAAAGAAAGAATGAAAATTGGAGCATTAGTTTCTCTTTAATAATAGAATTAATCAGCTGCATGTTAGAACTGAGTCTTTGCAATCCATCTTGGAAACAGATCTTATCTTTCTCCCACTGAATTTTGTAAGGTATTTTCAGTTTTAGAATTGCTCTGTGCAGGTGCTATTTTTCAGTTTTAAAAGGAGGGAAGGATAACCTTCATAGAACTCATTGAAAAAGAGTTAGCTGGAACATGGTGATTCTTCCAGGAGAAGGGAGTTGGAAGCCACCGTGCTGCTAGAAAGCTATGACCTAGTTGCCATTACTGAAACTTGGTGGGACAAATCCCATGACTGGAGTGCAGCTGTCGATGGCTATAGGCTGTTCAGAAGGGACTGGTGAGGAAGGAGGGCCAGAGGGGTTGCCCTCTACCTCAAGAAATGGATAGATTGTGAAGAGCTGTCTCTGAAAAATAGCCACAAGCAGGTTGAAAGCTTATGGGTCAGAATTAGAGACCAAAGCAACAAAGGGAACCTTGTGGTTGGTGTTTACTACAGGCTGCCCGGTCAAGGGGAGCCTATTGATGAAGCCTTCTTACTCCGGCTACAGGAGGCATTGTGCTCACAGGCTCTTATCCTGCTGGGAGACTTCAACCACCATGACATCTGCTGGAAAAGTAGCACAGTGAGCTGTAGGCAATCCAGGAGACTCCTGAAGAGCATTGAGAATAACTTCTTGAGCCAGGTAATAGACAGTCTTATCAGAGGGGATGCGATACTGGACCTGATGGTCACCAACACTAGTGAGCTAATTGGTGATGTCAAGATTGGAGGCAGCCTGGGCTGCAGTGATCATGCACTGGTGGAGTTCACAGTCCTGAGGGATACAGGTCAGGCAGAGTAAAGTCAGGACCCTGAATTTTACGAAAGCAAAATTCCAGCTCTTCAAGGAGTTTGTCAGTAGGATGCCCTGGGAAACTGCCCTCAGGGACAAGAGAGCAGAACAAAGCTGGCAGATCTTTAAGGACCTCTTGATCCCTAGGTGTAAAAAAATCAGGAAAGGAAGCAAGAGACTGGCATGGATGAGTCAAGACATGCTGGTCAAACTGAAGGGCAAGAAGGAAATGCACAGGCAGTGGAAGCAGGGACAGGTATCCTGGGAAGAGTATAGGGACACTGCCCGGTTGCATAAGGATGGGGTCAGGAAGGCCAAGGCACGGCTGGAGCTAAACTTGACAAGGGACAGAAAGAATAATAAGAAGGGCTTCTATAGGTATGTCAGCCAGAAAAGGAAGGTCAAAGAAAGCTTACCCCCCCGATGAACATGACTGGCAAACTGGTAACAACAGACGACGAGAAGGCTAAGGTACTCAACAACTTTTTTGCCTGTATTCATTGGCAATCTCTCTTATGACACCTCTCGAGTGGATGGACCACAAGACAGGGACTGGAGGAGCAAAGTCCCTCCCACTGTAAAAGAAGATCAGGTTCATGACCACCTGAGGAACCTGAACGTCCATAAGTTTATGGGACCTGATGAGATGCATCCCAGAGTCCTGGGAGAATTGGCTGATGTAGTTGCCAAGCCACTCTCCATGATACTTGAAGAGTCATGACAGTCAAGTGAAGTCCCTGGTGACCTGAAAAAGGGAAACATTGCACCCATTTTTAATAAGGGTAGAAAGGAGGACCCTGGGAACTACCAACCTGTCAGCCTCAACCTCTGTGCCTGGGAAGACCATGGAAGGTATGCTAAGGCACATGGAGGACAGGGAGTTGATTCGAGACAGCCAGCACAGATTTACCAAGGGCAAGTCCTGCCTGATCAACATAGTGGCCTTCTCTGATGGAGTGACTACATCAGTGGACAAGAGAAGAGCTATGGATTTCATCTATCTGGACTTCTGCAAGGCCTTTGACATGGTCCCCCACATCATCTTTCTCTCTCAATTGGAGAGAAATGGATTTGATGGATGGACTGTTCACTGGATGAGGAATTGGCTGGATGGTCGCATCCAGAGGGTAGTGGTCAATGGCTCAATGTCCAGATGGAGATTAATGACAAGTGGTGTCCCACAGGGGTCCGTACTGGGACCAGTACTGTTTAATGTCTTTGTCAGTGACACAGACAGTGGGATCGAGTGGACCCTCAGCAAGTTTGCAGATGACACCAAGCTGAGTGGTGCGGTTGACACACCTGAGGGATGGGATGCCATCCAGAGGGACCTGGACAAGCTGAAGAAGTGAGCCTATGTGCACCTTATGAGGTTGAACAAGGCCAAGTGCAAGATCCTGTACCTGGGTCAGGGCAACCCCTGGTATCAATACCCTGTTGGAGTGGGTCCAGAGGAGGGCCACAAAAATGATCAGAAGGATGGAACACCTCTCCTATGGGGAAAGGCTGAGAGAGTTGGGGTTGTTCAGCCTGGAGAACTGGGAAGACCTTATTGCAGCCTTTCAGTACTTAAAGAGGGCTTATAAGAAAGATGGGGACAGACTTTGTAGTAGGACCTGTTGCAACAGGACAAGGGGTAACGGTTTTAAGGTCAAAGAGGGTAGATTCAGACTAGATATAAGGAAGGAATTTTTTATGATGAGGGTGGTGAAACACTGGACCAGGTTGCCCAGAGAGGTGGTAGATGCCTCATCCCTGGAAACATTCAAGGTCAGGTTGGACGGGGCTCTGAGCAACCTGATCTAGTTGAAGATGTCTGTGTTTATTGCCAGGGGCTTGGACTAGATGACCTTTAAAGGTTCTTTCCAACCCAAACTATTCTATGATTCTGTAAGGGGAGAAGTGTACTTTTGGACCCCTTTATTTATCCATCTGATTTAGCACTCTTTGCTAGGGAATTTGAACTACATTGACTGAAAGGACTATCAAAACTGCAGGAAAGAATATGGTAATCAAAAAAGAAACTATGCATGCAACTTGCTTTTACAGGTCGCAGCATTATTAAGCCCTTTAAATACGTGATGCTCTCTTGCAGTACTAAATGTAAGGTGGTGCAATAATATCTTAGGAAAGAAAAGTAGTTTTAATTTAAAAAACAGCTCCTCCCTTAGACTAAGGGAACCTGAGTAGCTGGGTAACAAGCATAATAGTTTTAATCTGTAATAATTCCTAGTCATTCACGATAGTTGTATTTAGATAGTAGGACTTTGTGTATGTATAAAAATGTTTATTCTGTCATACCCCTTGTTGTCTGTCTTGGGACATTGCTGTGCTGTGATTGTTCAAGATCTTAGATGAAATGGTGTGATGTGCTTTTTTTTTTTCCTCTTTCTCTTCCCATTGTGTGCAGTGGGGGTCCCGAAAAAACCTGCTGGCAGTGAACAACATCAGCTCTGTGGTGATCCTCAGTGAGCAGGCCATGTCGTCTCATTTTCATCAGGAAGTAGCTGTTGTACAGGTGTCTCCAAACCTGTTTAATGTGACCTTCTTCAGCACAGGAACTACACACAGTCTTCGTGTTGATATGAATATTAATGGAGTCTTCGCTACTAAGGTTAATTGGGGTTTTTCATTTATTTGCTTGATTGTTTGCCTAGTTAGGTGTATGGAGACCAAACTTTTGAAGTCTTCGATATAATCCTTCTTTGATATTCAATTTATTGTATAATGGAAGTATTGTTGTGACAGAAGCAATGATGCTGTGGTGGTGCTGATTTTCAGATAGCACAGTGACTCAGTAATTCTCTGGGTGCTGACCAGAGAACTTTTGGATTACCAAAAGCCTTCCAACTCAATATACAGAGGAACTAGTGAATGGTGGCTATTGTGTGGAAGGTCTTGCTGTGTTATTGCATGAATTCCTGTATGATTCCAAAAGAAACTGAATGTATATTTTCTTTTGTTTTTTTGATTCGTTTAGGATGCTATAGTATTCTGGAATGGGAAGCAAGTTACTGTCTTTGAGCGCTCAGGAGTTACCTTCAGAAGTGCAGGTAGGACTTAGAACACTGATCAGAGTTGGAATGGTTCTCTTCCTCCAAAGTTATACGTTCTCTTCATTCATGGTAGCTGATGGACTATAATCATAAGTGCAAAGTGAAAAATATTATTAACGCTAATTAGACTTCACATTCCCATTTTGCAGAATAGAAAGATTAGGGTGTAAAAATCATCAACAAAACCAGAATTTAAATGCTAACTCCTACATCTGTGCTTTATTCACTAAATAAGCTGGGATATAATGTGTGAGTTAACCTCAGAATATGTTGGTATTCCTGTATATGAGTAGCAGTGCAGCAACAGAGTTAAAACCAAAGGTGATGTGCGTCTGTAGGCATAAAATTAAAATATATATCGTCTTATCCTCTGTTCAGCTACAACCCAATCCTGGAAGTACCTAAAGGCTAAATGTGCTTCATTCATAGATTTCCTAAGGCATCCAAGTGTGTGACTGGCCTTGACAAAACCAAGCATCTTGTTGCTGTTTCCCACAGATTAGATGTATACCTGACTGTCACACCTAGACTTGAAAGGTATCCTCAGAGCTAGCATATTATATAGGGCCTTGCACAAAACACGGTATAAGGATAAGGCTGCCTCTTTTTATCTTTTAAGTAAATCATTCCAACAGTTGATCAGGAACAGAATTGTTTCTTACTTTTGTAGCCATGGCTCCTGTTGCCTTCTACAGGTAGGTCCTGATGATGGCTATTGAAGGCTTTTCTATTTTGCTTGGGAGAAAGCGTAATCAAGGTTACATAGCACTTACACAGGAACTGGGAAGGAGTGGGTTTTAGTCCCAGCTGTCAGGAAAATCTGTTCCATAAATGGCTGTTTATACAGCTAAATCAAGTAAATTATTTTTTTCTATGATTAATTCTCCCTAAATATTTCTGCCTTGAGAAACAGGTTACGCAGAATTCCATCAATCCCATCCAAAATCTTGAGAGTTTAGGCTTTGACTTTTAAGAACCATCAAGTGTTTTCTGAGAAGTGTCTTATATTGTCTATATTAACTTACTTATTTTATAAATTTCCCATGCTGAATCAATGCATTATTACCACCAAGATCCCAACAGTCTACAACACTCATGAAACTACTTAAAAGCTACTCTTCTTTTCTGACAGAGATTCCTTTATCACTCTTCAGTTGTAGTTCAGTGAAGGAAGGAGTGATTCTCTTAACAGCACCTCACATTGCACTAGTCTTTTTCTTCCACTCCCCATATCAACTCTTTCCACTTCCTCTCCATTTGTTTTCATGGGCAGACTGTACACGACACCTGTTTTCAGTAGGAGTCCCAGCTTTTGGTTGTAGTGGCAGAATGGAAAAAGGCTACAACACAAAGGAGTTTGAGAATCAGTAGAGACTGATGGCTTGAAAAATGGATTTGGTGCAAGATAGTGGAAATTGAATGCTTTAAGTCAAAATTCCTTCTTTTTTTCTTCTTTTTAAAAATCTGTTTATTGCAATGAAGGTTTTATTGTGATTGTTCCAGGTTCTTTTCTTTGTGACTCTCCAGTTCTGTCTGTGCATGGAGAAAATCTGCACACAGTTGAGACGTATCAGGTCCAGATCCGCACTTGGCAGGTAAGGGCTGATGAAACGATGAAGCAATGAATATGCCTTATTGTTTTCAAAGATTGGTGTTACAGCTTAAAAGTTAAGTGGATGTTCTGTAAATCTCGTAACTCTACCTTTGTCATAAAAAAATTATTCTGAGTATTTCAGCAGAAAGATCTTTGACATTTTGTGTTCTTTAAAAAGTCTGTCACTTTAAACACTACTGCACTAACAAGTATTTATAAAAGAAAACAGAATTCTGTAAAGGCCAGACTTTAAGAGGATCAAAATTGCATGCAGGTTGAATATGTGTGTGTATATTACTGACAGGAAAATGAACATAGTGAATATTATAAGATAATGAAAAATAACCCCTGCACATTCTGTGTGTTCCTGCAAAATCTTTTGCTTAACCTTTGCAGCCTCTGCTAGTTGGTGAGAACCAAAAAGAGAAATCTAATTATCACAGTTCTGTGATGCAGAATTTTATTTAAGAAATAAATGTTGTATTCAAGAATGGGTGGGATTTATCACAATAAGGACTGATTTAATTCATATATTTATTTTTGCAGCTGTATAATAAAGGACCTTCAGGGACCTGTATTTCAGTATCCCTCTTAGTTGGAAAAAGTTCTGTTATTGAAGAGGAAATTGTTGCAGAAGGATACCTCTAAATTTTGACTTTTTTAGAGGCTATACATCCAGTTTTCAACCTGAAACACAGATTGCATTTGTAGACACTGCATGTGTGTGTGTAGTTTCTCTCATTTTGCTGGTAGTGATTTGTCTAACATAGAAGTTCAGCTGCTGGTTACTTAACTTGGTGACAAAAGTCATCCCTTCTAGTTAGACCCTGAACACACAAACTTGGTGTTACACGTTTCTTCTCAGGGCACAGTTAAACAGCTCCTGGTGTTCTCTGAAGCAGAGGGGAAGCCATGCCTCTTGGATGTGTGCGGAAATTTCCTGGCTGTGGGAACTGATTTGGCTCACTTTAAAATCTTTGATCTCTCTCGCAGGTATTAATAAGCCTTTTAAAAACATCTGTTTATAATTGAGCATATATTTTGTGGGGAGGGGGGAATCCTTAGTTGGTTTTCATCTGATGAAAAGTGATAGCCCCTTTGAATCTTGAGACGATATATGCAGCCTATGTGAACTGGTGGCCTATCCCTAAAGCAAGGGAAGAGCCACAGAATTATTAGATAAATCATGGGAGGAGTAACAGTAATAATAATAATTTAAAAGAGGATATTGTGAGGGATATTTGTGTATATTTGAAAGTGGTGGGGAACTTATGGAGGATCAAGACAAGGATGTCGTATGTTTCTGCTGATAACTTGACCAAGACCTTAATGTCAGAAGAGTTGAAATAAAGGAAAAAAAAAAAAAAATGCTAGGTCTCGTATCTCCTCATAAATCAACAAACTTGATTCAGTGAATCCATGGAGGAAGTGAACCTAGAATTGCGGACACTCTGTTCTTCCTCCTGTTTAGGTTAAGAAAGCAGCTTACTTGTCTTTGTTCAAACTTTACTGTGTGTTCCCACGCTGACAAATAGCTGTGGCATGAAAAAGATACATGCCTGACATGACTTTTCATTTGAAAATTTATCTGCTAATGACAAATGTAATTTTGAAAACCTGAAAAACCTCAAGAGTGAAATGGATTCTGTTCTTCCTTACATGCTGTCACCAGAGGAATGCTAAAGTCTAGTTAGTTACCCATTTGGAAACTCATTACCTGTGTTGAGATGGCACAAATTCCGCATGGGACAGAATTTGAAGGTTATTGAATTTGGGCAGGTTGTAACTAGCACAAATATTGGATTATAATGTTTGATAGTGGAGAAAAAGTAGCTTAACTCCTGTGTGCTGTGTTAAATATTTGTGACTAGTAATGGAAATAGCCCTTCTCAAATGATGACAGTATAGTGCTCTTTAATTTCAAAGCAAGCATAGTTGGCTTAAAGGGGATGTCTAAACATGTAACCCAAGAATGTTATTTTTATGGAATCAAATATTTTTTTCATGGGATCGTATTATGGGTCTAAATTACTGTCACTTCTTTCTGTTGCATTCTTTTGATTCCTGAGATTTGTCCTCTTTGTTGCTGAATGATCACTGGTTTTGTATCTGTACCAGCAGTAAGATTCTTTTGAGATAATAAAGTGGGGTGGCGGGGTGGTGGTGGGGTGTGTGTGTTAATTATGTGAATGATACAGTCTTTTGGAACTTAGGTACAGAGGGAAAGTGGTCAGTAAGATGATATAAATACCACCCCCCCATGACGTTTCTTTACTTCTGTTCCACAGTGTGTTTTCCACACACAGAACTTCTATGTGATGGGCTATATTCAACATTCATGATACTTACTGTTCAACTTATGTAGGGCAAACAGACCTCTA